TGCCTACTGGCCTCTACAGAAAGAGGTAAGGAAAATGAAAACATTTTACAATGCACAGGACAAGGTTATCCCCCGACAAAGAATTATCTGGCTCAAAATGTCAATATTGGTGTGATAGATAAACTCTAGAATTTGATTCTTTGAGTAAGATTACAATAAAGCTTCTTCAAAGGGAATTTCAAAGGCTACTTACCTTATCAAATACAAAGCTGAGTATTTTCATTTTTTGTATAATTGTATATAACATGATTCTTGGAGTGCCAACTCTTTCTTGTTCCATTCTAATCACTTTATATTACATCTAGTCTTTTTTCATTTGAACTTATTTGGCTTTATGAGGCTAAAGCAGATTACCTAAATCACAGTTTCACTAAAAAGAAATTCTATTTTTACTACATGTGCTGAATAACAAACCTCGCATTCTCTTTGTTTTCATCTTAACTTTTGAAACACAGCAAATATGTTTTCAGCTTATAATACCAATGACTGGAGGGTTAAAGAAAAAAGTTAAATGACTGGAGGGTTGAAGAAAAAAGCCATACATTTTGACCAAACAGTATACCTGGTGCCAAATATACAAAAATTTAATTCCAACAAATACAATGTGAGAACAACACATATATTGTAGTCTGATTAGGAGGCATATTATTATAACAATTTCATGTTCTCTACTATAAAAGAGGAAAAATATCCCTACAAATAGTATATCTATACCCAAAAAATGACAAAAAATTGGAGAATGAGTGACAGACTAGTATCTATTCACAATAGAAAACCAATGTTCTCACTAATAACATATCCTGTCAATAAGTCAAAAATAGTTTCTGCCTCAAAATTAACATTATATTTTCATTTAGTACCAGTAGCAAGAAAAAGAGACAATAAAACTGGTTAAATAAGAAGGTTTCTCCACAAATATGGTTAAGTGACTACAGATTTGTATATATTTTAATTATCATTCTCTTTACCTTCTTGCATCATTGTTGCTTAAACTTAAATTATAGACACACTGTCATGAGAAGGAATACATTTTATAGTGGGGATTGAGAGTTCTAAATAAACAAAATAGATCTTTCAAAACAGCTATTCATCATAACATTACCTGTAATAACAAAAATACTAGAAAACCCTCATGTCATCAGGAGGAGAGAGGTTATATAAACTATGGTACAACCATTAAAAAGCACACTTAAGCAGCTGTGGGAAAAGTGGAAGGTCTCTCTGTGCTGCAACTAAGTGCTCACTTAAATATATTAAGTTTTAAATTAAAAAAATAAGAGAAAAGTATGCACTTTTGTGTAAGAAAAGGAAGAAAACAAAGAGCAATACATGTATTTATTTACATTAAAAAAATAACAGAAGAATAAATCTAATACATATGTGCTAAGGTTGTAACTCAGTGGTAGAGTGCTTGCCTAGTATTCATGAAGCCCTGAGTTCAACCCTCAGTACCACCAAAGCCAACAAAACAAAACAAACAAAAAAAAACTAATACAATTAATTATCTGTACAGGACAGGAAGAAGAAAAAGAAAGGAGAAGATGAGAAAGGGAAAAGAACATAGACTAGACCTCCTATACACTGTTTTATAGCTTTGACTTTGAAACCATGGAAATGTATATAGAATTTAAAGTTAAATCAAAAAGAAAAACCAAGCACAGATACAAGTTCTTGAATCAATAATTTTCTATATACTGATGCAAAAAGATACTGGGTACTCAACTAAGGATGTGAGAAGCAAAGGAATAATTTAAAATTATATACGGCAGAAATGAGCTTTCATCCTTAAGATAGGCCACAGTCAGGTTAATAAGGCAAATTTTTCTTTCAGCCATATGTTCCCCTAAAGGGCTGTGAAGATGTATACACTGTGGTTCTTTTGTCCTCCTTTAATTTTGCTAAATGCTAATAAATCAAGGGCATCATTCTGTTTTTATAATTGTTCAAATGACGTTTTATTTTTTTGTTTGTTTGTTTTGCAGAAAGTGGGGGGGGGGGGGTGATACCTTAAAAACTGTTCATGTTAACAGGAGACTGTAATACTTAGTGCCAATTTCTTCTCCTTAAAAAAAAAAATTCTCTAGTATTTATTTGGAGATAAAAATCACTATTTTGCATACCCTTTCCATCTCTGTATGTTCTTTATTAGAAACTGAAAGAGCAATCCTGTTATCCTACTAAAGTTTCTCTGTGCAGAAAGTACTTTGTCTTGGTAAAGAAGGGTAGTATATTTTTCCTTTTCAAAAATAAGACACAGTTCAAAATCACTATTCAAGGACAAAACCTGGATTTAGTAAATATGTTGTAAATCAAGAGTAAACACAATAAGTAATAGGATATTTAACAAAAGATGAACAGATACCATCAGACCTCCTTCACTTTAGAAAAATTAGACCTTAATTGGGATGAACATGAAAAGTAGTAGCTGAGTGGGAAAAGAGACAATAGACAAGGAGCAAAGAGAAAACAATCTGGAAAACTGAGACCACCACAAGAAATACCTGTATATAACGAGGATTCTTTCAATTCCATCAATGTGTCTTTCCAATTACTGTACCAAGGAACACTAGCTTTAATTGACCGATCTGATGAAGAAAATATGGCACTGTTAAGCTAGGCTTGTGAGGTAAATATCTAACATCTATTTATTTCTTAAACAGAATGGATGAAGAGGATGCTGACTTACATTAAGTAAAAATCAGAAGCATACTTCTGGACATATAATTAACACCTTATTAAAATAGATTAAATTCCTTTTAATAATCTCCAAAGAGCATTATTCTGTATAATGGAATTTTATTCAAATGAATTAAATACCGTATCATATTTCATTCCCCGTTTTCAAAGCCACAAAAATAAATCTGTGGGCTGGGTTTGTGGCTCAGTAGTAGAGGGCATGTGCTTAGCATGCTCAGGATGCTAGGTTCAATCCCCAGTATGAAAATAAATACATAAATAAAGCTGAAAGAAGGTGCCATAAAGTATCAGGGAAAAAGCAAAAAGAATAGTTTTCTTTTGCTATTTATCCTCAACACTTGGAATTCTTTTAAAAATCTTCTTAAAGAGTTCAGCTATAATAGTGCCTCCACCTGCTTTTAAAGGCAAATAATACTCAATCATCCTTTGTGTAGAGATGTTGGCAGGACCCTGAGAATGCAGATAACATAATTAGATAAAATAATTTCTCACAATCAAATAATGACTACATTCTTCCTATCAACTACTAACCCACTTTATAAACTACTAAAAGAAACAAGGCCCCTTGTACACAGATAGCCAGACGACAGATCTGAGAATCCTTCCCTGGAGAAACTAAATGGCCCCAAGGAAAAGAGCTATAAATAATAAAAACTGGGCAATGCTCAAGCTTATTCCCAGCCTCATCACCCAATAAGGAAGTCCACTAACTGATAAAGCTTTTCTTATGCCCAGTCAGGGTTTTAATGTTTCAATCTGAAATAGAAAATAACACTAAGGGCTTTTACTAAATGTTTGAGGAAAGTCTCCAAAATGAAAGAGATCAAAACAAACTTGAAAAACAAGAGTAAGAGAACGGAAAAAAATAGGAAAAAACTTAACAATAAAAAAATAATAAAAATTTATTAACATCCTCAGGGTTAAGATACCAAGAACAAGATGGCACAAAAAAATAAAAATTCAGAAAATAGATGTTAAAAAAAAAAAGAAAAAAGATAAGACCCTTAAAGAAGTTCTACAGTCAACTAACAGTGGTTCCAGGAAGAACAGCACAAAACAACCAGGAAGCAAGCAATGAAGAATTTCTAAGAGCACAATTTCTTTAGACCAAAGAGTGTAAATAGCCAGACTGCCAAAAGGAGTGGGCTCAAAGTACAAGTGAAGGACGAGTCATAACAGGCCCAACATGGAATTTCAAAACGGCAGGGATAATAAATTTCTAAAATCTTCTAAAAGTTGAAGGGATAGAGAGAATATGTACCATAATAGTTCTAGCTTCTTAAGAGCAAAACTAGAAGCTAGAAAAAAAGAGAATGAATTCTGAGGGAAAGATTTCTAACTAATACTGTATACATTCAAACAATCAATAAACTATATGAAATAAAAATATTTTCTCAGATATTCAATTCTCAATTTTTTTTTGGGGGGGGGGGGGCAGAGCACTGGGGATTGAACTCAGCGGCTCTCAACGACTGAGCCACATCCCCAGCCCTATTTTGTATTTTATTTAGAGACATGGTCTCACTGAGTAGCTTAGTTCCTCACTTTGCTAAGGCTAATTTTGAATTCACAATCCTCCTGTCTCAGCCTCCCAAACCACTGGGATTACAATTGTGCATCACCACGCCTGGCTTCAAAATTTTTAACTGTCTTAAAAATTTGCCTTTCTTCTCAGGCAGTTATTGGAGACATCCCCTTCACCAAATCAATGAAATGCACACAAAGGTATGAATGAAATACAGTGACGTAAAAAGGGAAAGAAATCCCCAGGATGACAGCTATGGAGTGAGCTTTGGAGAATAAACAGTCCCAAAGAGAGCAGAGCAATGTTTATCAACTTTTTTTTCATTATCTTTCCCCAATGAGTGATTTTCAATGTTTTTCCTAATCACTCCCTCTCCCCAACTATTTTTTTCCTTTTTTTCTTTCTTTTTTTTTTTTTGCAGTGCTAAAGATCCAAACGAGGCTTCAATATGTTAAGCTCATGCTTTACCACTAAGCTACATCCCAGTCCCTACCTGCCAATATACTTTAAAAAAAAAACATTACTTGAGATTGACTTAGGGCCTTACAAATTATCAGGCAGGCAAGCGCTCTACCACTGAGCTTTTTCTTCGGTTTTCAGATAGGGTCTCAATAAATTACCCAGATTGGCCTCAAACTTGCATTCCTCCTTCCTCAGTCCCCTGAGTAGCTGGCATTACATGTTGTACCACCAAACGCAGCCCCCAAATTTTTTTAAAAAATACATGGAACATAAGCATTTGGAGAACCAAAACTATTATAATATCCAAAAATTTCTGACCCCTCCAAAAAGCAAGTTTCAGTTCACTTGCAGATAATATCATCCTTACTAAAAACACATGAAATAGGAAGACTTCTACAAGGAGAATAAACAGATTATTTTACAAATTAATCAAATTTTAAAATTCTCCTGAGGAATTTTGAGAGACCACAGTGAATATTAAGCAGAAATCATGGAAACTGTATATGGAACATGAAGAAAAAAGGAAGAGAAGTGATAAAGCTAAGAACTCCTTAAACATAATTAGAAGTTAATAAATAAAATTTAAAATTAAGACATAGATAACACTATAAAAATATTACTTAGAACATATAATACTAGAGGAAAACACTAAGGGAAATTGTATAACAGACAGCAGAAAGCAGAGCATTGCTATTTTTTCCATAAGGTCTTTTTAGCATTATGCCTATGTGTATACATCATTTTGACAAACATATTTTAAAAGAAAAGAGGAGAGGGGCTTTGGAGGTCAGGGAAATATTTATATTATAAAATCGATACTTTTATTTTTAATATGATAGGTAATAACTGTGTCCCCTTAGCACTTTAGCATATCAGATATTCCATATCTGTATTTACAACATATTGTGACTATAATGTATTATCAAATAGATGTATTATGATTACTGATTGTCTCCCTACTAGATTAAGAACTGATAAAACATGTCATATCTCTCAATGTAAAAAAAAAAAAAAATCTCTATATCACAATGTAAAGCATAAAGTAGGAAATCAATAAATATTTGCTGAATGAATAACAAATATGTTAAGACCCCATAAAATGGAATCACCAGATTAAAGGTCTGAGAAAGGTCTAAAGAAACAATTAGTGAAACTTTTGTTTTCAAAGATTGAAATAAAGTCTAGAAACACTAAGTGATTTATTCAAGTCATCTAACCAACTAAGGATATTGTAGTATAAAAACTTAAAAGACACTTTAGCATTTGATTCATTATCATTCACACTACAAACTATGGCAGACAAAATTCAAACTTCACTACTTTCTCTGGGAAATATTCAAGTTTCCACATCATGTTTAAAACATTATTCAGGTGGGCCTAGTGGCCCACTTACACACTTGTAATCCCAGCTATTCCAGAGGCTGAGGAGAGGAGAATCACAAATTTAAGGCCACTTAGGCAATTTAGTGAGATCCTGTCTCAAAATAAAAATTAAAAAGAGCTAGTGTGTAGCTCAGTGGTAGAGCAACACTGGGTTCAATACTCAAAAGCACAAAAAATAAAATAAAATAAATGCTGGGCACTTATCAAATATGTACCCTGAAATTCAGATTTTTTTGACTAGTAAAGATAATCATAATATTCCAAATCAAACTGAATCTCTCTCAGTAGTAGAGTGTGGCCTTACCATGTATAAGGCGCTGAGTCTATCCCCCACACCAAATATAAGAAAATTAAATTACCAAATTAACCTAAGCTACTGAAATTAAAACTAATGGCAAAGAAAGAAGAAATTACAGGACATTTAAACAAAATAATTTTACAAATATTGCTAACCATGCAAACGCAACTAACTTTGTGACCTAAAACATGCTACGTAAATTCTCTACAGGTGCAGAAAAATTTTTAATATGTTATTAGGAGACATTAAAGTATTAGATAAATTATATTGGCCTAAAAAGATTACTTTATAAGGTTGTTGAAAGATTGTAACTAGGTGATGTACTTCTGATCCTTTTCCTCTAAAAACCTGTCCCATCCTCTTTCAGTAAACTTAAGACTTTAATAATGGAAAAGAGTCACATCAAATGCAGCTAACTTATTATACAAATCAATATTATTTCACTTATCAGTCTTGTTATGAAAAAGTTTACCATTTAAATCAGATAAGAAGCATTCACAAAAGATTATGCATTTGTTCATATTTTATAAACATTTCCTCCACTTATCACCAAACAAGATTAAAATAACAATATTTTTATTTAATTATAATATTACTATGTCACCAAAAAATGTTATCTACTGTTTTTCATTGATTAAATATTTATTAAATACATGTTCTGGGTATTAGGTACCAGAATAAAATAAAGAGCCAAAATTCCTGGGATTGTTTCTAAATATTGTCCTATAGGACCAGGCTCCAGCACTTCATATACTTAAATATTTATTGAATGATCTTCAATGATTTCACAGAATTACTTTTTCTAACAAAAGTGATTTTCATTTCAAAAATAATAATAAACCTTATTACATACCGCTGATGTTAAGGTCATAATCTCCTGCTGTAATCACATTAGCTACTAATCCTTCTGCAGGCTGACTGCCAGAAACAACATCATTCAAAAGCTTCCGAATGGCTCCAGGCTGAGGTGGTTGGGTAATAATGTTGCTCACTGCTATCTTCAAATTTTTAATTATGTGAAGCTGATTATTAGGATCTCTCATATGAACTTTAAAAGAGAGGAAAAAAACGCGAAATTAATTCTATAATGCACAATAAATCAAAACTGGTTTAATGGCTTTCAAACAAAAAGCCTACTCAAATCAGAAACTAGGAATTCCAAGTGGAACACTTTCAGAAATACAAGTGGTTTACAATATTCCATATCAAAAGAGCTAGACAGACAGTCTATTAACCATAAGATTACTTCCTCTCACATTATGCTGCTGCTCATAATTTCCCTACAGTAGGTACTTTCCTTTCTTCTATATTTAGAGTTGCTGGAAACTAACCACCATCCATTCAAATCTCTAATTTGACCTCACCCTAAGAATGGTCCAGGCAGAGTAAGGTCTATGGTGGTCTCTATGTCTCATTGCAAATTGCAGTACAGGTAATCAATAAAAGGAAGTTAAATGCTGTAAATGAACTTCGCTATTCTTTTCCTAGTCTTCCGTCTTCATTTTAATTTACTATCATAAAAGTCAGTGCCCAGCCTGATGAGGTAGTTCATACCTATAATTCCAGTGACTCGGGAGGGAAGTTGGACAACTTAGCAAGACCCTGCCTCAAAATAAAAACAGAAAAGGTTGCAAATGTAGCTCAGTGGTAAAGTGCCTCTGGATTCAATCTCCAGTATCAAAACAAAAACAAAAAAAAATCAATTCTTACTGTGGCATAAAAGATTGATAGTGAGGGAGACTGGGCATGTATAGTAACAGGTATATGTGGGAACTCTACTTCCTGCACAATTGTGCTGTAACCCTAAAACTGGTAGAAAAAATAAAACATCTCCTGTGGCTGAGGATACAGCTCAGTTGGTAGAATGCTCACCTTATATGACAAATGCAGCTAACTTATTATACAAATCAATATATTATTTCACTTATCAGTCTTGTTATGAAAAAGTTTACCATTTAAATCAGATTAAGAAGCACTCATAAAAGATTATGCATTTGTACATATTTTATAACATTTTTTTTTTGCTGGTTCCATCCCCAGCAAAAAATAAATAAATAAAGTATCTTCTTTAAAATAATCAACACTGAAATTCCTTCTCTCACTCCAATACCTCCACTCTGCTACATTCTTGCTTCAGTCTCTAAGATTTATAAACAGTGGTTCAGAGTTGCAGGACAAGAAATAGATTCTGAAATGATTGTAGCAACACAGTACTCAAAGTACACAGTTGAAAAATATAAGCATATCTTTTTCACATAATCAAACAAGATGGTTAGTTTCCAGAGTAATATTAGGAGCAGTCCATTATAAAGATTAAAGAACTAGCTTGTGGAGCCACACCTTAATTTAAATCCCAACACATCACTTATTATCTGGATTATACTGAAAACTTCCTTAACTTTTCTGTGTTTCAATTTCCTCATCTGTTACAAGTGATTACTATCTACTTCAAGGGGTTATTTTAAGGATTTATTTCAGAAAGTAAGTGTAAAGCACTGAGCACCATGCCTAGTGACTAGTGACAAAAGCATATAAACAGCAGGAGGTCCATCATCATCTATTCTGACTGCATCATGGATTATCCTATACGAAGAGACAATTTAGCAAGACCTGCTTCAAAATAAAAGTAGAAAGGGTTGCAGATGTAGCTCAGCAGTACACTGGGATAACTGGTTTGGGGTACCTACCCACACAAAAATATTTTCTTTTTCCTGAGTAGAAAATGCTTTATACCAAACAAGCTTTTTAAAGGTCAGACTTACCTGTATTTCAAGTCTTTATAAATATCCTGTGATCTCTCCACTGATTTCTAAAACTTTTTAGTCAAAAACAAGACTAAAAATTTTAAAATACTAAATAAGTCATGAATATGCACCTATACTGTAAATATATGTACACACAAGTATACACACAAATCCATTCAGAGTGGTTACCTATGGTTATGGAAGGATGAAATGAGACCAATGTGATGCAGAAAGGGGACTTCACCCTCATCTCTAATGATATTTGCTTTCCTTTTAAAGGAAAAGTAAAGATAAAAAGCAAATATGACAGAGGGTTAATATTTATTAAATGGAGAGCTGGATGCTTCTTGAATTCTCTACATTCTTCTGTAATTGTTACGTTTCCTAGTTTAAATAAACACATACATGCCTCTCTCCCTAATTAAACTTCCCAGCTGGTCTAATTATGTAACAGAAACAAACCAACCAACCCTAAGAGTACTGTGATACACTTCTGATATCTTTAGAAACATACTGAAAAAGTACTTTCCTTAAATTTGGACCATAATTATCAAACAACCTAAGTAGCCATGTATGTATTAAACCTTCCTTTGGGGGATAGGGATGTAGCTCTACAGTGGAATGCTTGCCTAGCACTCCACTGGTATAAAAAATAAAATGTCTTCTTTAAAATAATCAGTGCCCAAATCCCTTTTCTCACTCCAGTACCTCCACCCTGCTATAGTCCTTGCTTCAGTCTATGAGATTTATAAACATTGGTTCAGAATTGTTCAATTTAGTTGTATTCTTAAATTCAATCCCCTTTACCATCAAAACACACACACACACACACACACACACACACACACACAGAAGTTGACTTGAATTTTACCGAGTTTGATACTTGAAAACCTTGGAGATTAATTACCTAGTTACAACAACATGGTAGTTAATAGTTAAGATGAAATGTTCCTAACAATATTTGAGAAAACAAGAGGCACAGAGTATCTTGCAAAGATTATTTCCTACTTTAATCGCCAGTTTTCCTAGTTCATACAGAAACTACTCAAGATTTATGAAAAAAAATTCATTCCAATCTTTTTCATTCTTTAAATAAGTCTAATCAATTTTGAAATAATAACACCTATCAAAAATGAAAGCCAGGGACTGGGGTTGTGGCTCAGTGGTACATGCTCACCCACCATGCATGAGGCGCTGGGTTCAATCCTCAGCACCACATAAAAATAAAGATATTTGTCCACCTAAAACTAAAAAATAAATATTAAAAAAAATGAAAGCCATATATTTCAAAAGCTAGTGTTTAAGTGAAAGTTTCTTAAAACTTATAAACTTTCTAAATGATATGTTGAACCACTGCTTAGAATTATCAAAGAACTATTGGTAAGCAAAAACAACAAGGCTTGGCTAATTAATACTAACATTACCACTCTTCAAAACAAATGGCCAGTAGAGATTCTTCAAAAAATGTTAAGGGGATATGCAGCTCAGTGATGGAGTGCATACACAAGGCCCTGAGCTTGATCCTTAACACCACAGGTGGGGAAAAAAGGTATTACGATCACAACATTTGTACTGAACAGTAAGTCTCCAACATTTAATATAAAAAAATAGCTGGGTACAGTGGTGCATACCTCTAATCCCAGAGGCTCGGTAGGCTGAAGTAGGAGGATCATGAGTTCAAAGCCAGTCTCAGCAACTTAGCAAGGCACTAAACAATTCTGAGACCCTATCTCTAAATAAAATACAAAAAAAGAGCTGGTGATGTGGCTCAGTGCTTGAGTGCCCCTGGGTTCAATTCCCAGTACCAAAAAACAAAAACAAAAAAAAACTTTTTAAAAAGAACCACTTTTTAAATATATTTTTATTTGTAGTTGGACACAAGACACAATACCAATACCTTTATTTATTTTTATGTGGTGTTGAGGATCAAACCCAGCACCTCACACGAGCTAGTTGAGCACTTTACTGCTGAGCCACAGCCCCAACCCAAAGAACCATTTTTAATATAATGTAAGAAATACACTTCAGGTTTTAAAAGTGTATATAAAAAACCTAAAATGGCTCTCCATTGACTAAGACTTCAAGCCTAAACATTATTAAGGTCATACACATGAATGGTACTCAAATTTGTTCTAACAACTCTCTCTCAAGTATAACTTTAAACTACATTTTCCCACTGAAACCTAAAAATAAGTCTCACAAAAATACTTGGCACTGGATTGACAATACCTGATGTTGGCATTCAAAGCAAATTTTTACCATAAGTAACAGCATACCTGCAGGCCAGCAACGGAATCTTTTTTTTTTTTAACATTCCTTTCTCTTTGTAAGAAAGTATTAACTTATTATAGATATATTCTTAAATAATATTGCTGAAGTGATATTTTCATGCCTTGCTGCCTAAACAAAAGCTATCTTTGAGGAATCACCACAGGTAACATAAAAGGTGCCTGTTCCAATTGTTAAAAATCCCAAAACATGCTGGGCGTGGTGGTGCATGCCTGTAATCCCAGTGGCACAGAGGTTTAGACTGGAGGATCAAAAGTTCAAAGCCAGCCTAGCAACTCAGTGAAACCCTGTCTCTAAGTAAAAAATATGAAATAGGGCTGGGGATGTGGATCAGTGGTTGAGCACCCCTGAGTTCACTCCCTAGTACCCCCCGCCAAAAAAAAATCCCGAAACATATTTACCAGAAAAAAAAAACTAAACCGCAGAAAAATTAAATCCTTTTCACCAAATTTCTAATGCCACCACCACAGTCCATATCTTAATCATGTTAAATGTTAAAATTTATATCAACTCTTATCATCCTTGTAAACCACACCACTCATTTACCTCCCAAAATTTCACTGCCTTGCCTCACATTTACCATTAGATATGAAATCTAAAAATCCTCTTCCTAGAATCCAAGGTCCTCCTTATCTTGGCATTCTGCCTTACTATCCCCACCAGAAACAGTTTCCCCACTGTTCCTCAACCTCTCAATCATAATTTATACCTTTTGCCCTTACCATTCTGACCCCAAAATCCTCTCCCCCATAGGGAATGATTGCCCTTTCCTATCCACCACCTCTCCAACTATCATTAACATATACTTCATTATGTTCGCTCCCTAAATCTTTTCAGTCTGTAAAACCAGAAGTGTACTGATACTGAATATCACTGCACAGTTAATACAGAAGGCACCTGTGGCTTACTGAGCCCTTGAAATATTTCTACACCAAGTAGAAATTTAAGTGTAAAACATGCCAAGGTTCAAAGATCTAGCAATAAAAATGAATGTAAAATATCCTATTAATATCTTACACTGAATGTCTATTGAAATGGTAAAGTAAGGCTTAAATAAGATATACTATTTAAACTAATCTCACCTGGCTGGGGTGTAGCTAAAGTGGCAGAGAGGTTGTTCAGTATTCAAGAAGCCTTGCATTCAATCACCAACACAAACATACATACACACACACACACACAAAAAAAAAAACCCTCACCATTTCTCTTTTAGTTGTTTAATGTAGTTACTAAAACATTTTAATTATATTCATGACTCATATTATCTTAGGGGAGCTGGTGCTAGGGATCAAAGTCAGTGCCTCCTGCATGCCAGGCAAGTGCTCTACCACTGAGCTACATCCCCAATTCCTGGGATTATATTTCTATTGGACAGGACTGTACTTCAATATAAATAAGTAATTCTCGACATTGACAGGAGATGTGATGATTGGAAACACAATGTTTTGAGTTATGCTGCATATTTTTTAAAATTTTTCCCAAATGTAAGACTGTGGACAAGACCACTGTGCCTCAATGTCCTCAAATTTTAAATGGCAATAATAATGAAGGATTCAATGAATATTAAGAGAGAAAAGCCACAAAAACCAGGTATCAGGTATTAGCATTATTGTTTTTATTAACAACATAGGAAAGAGTACACACATCAAAGTCAAACTGACACTCGTGTGTTTTTTAAGAATTTGTAAAAATGTAGGGCATTTTGTTGTTCTTGTTGACCTAGTTCAACATCAGAGGAGCTGAGACTAATGGCTAAGGTAGAAACAGAAGAAAATCCAAGAGTTTCCAAACTTTGAGGCTTTTGTATTGTTTCTTTCTTTCTTTTTTGAGACAGGTCCCTCTTTAAATACAGAGCAAAATTGGAGCTATCATTCTGAGGAACACCTGTAGCATGTAAATACATGAAATAGGGTGAAGCACTGTTTTGGGTGGAGAAGTCACCCTAACCAAATCAACATCAGTCATTCACTTGACAAAAGGTTTATTATAGAACCCTTCATCTATATAAACCTTAACAAAGAACTTGTACTTTTTGCAATGGTCTGTTTGCAAGATACTGGTTTAAACCACACTTATTACCCGATCAAATAAAATTATGAATGGTTTAACCAATATCTTTTACCTTAATGAAGAATCTAAAGCTAGAGAAAATAGATAACTCCTCAATGAAAACACATGTTTCTATGATTAAACGACTATTGGAAAACCAAAACTTAGGACTTTTCTATTGCTACAAATCTAAAAAACTTCAAATATCTAAATGAATCACGATTGTCCTTAACTTCCTCATCTTTCAGGCAAAAAGTTGTTACAAGTTTTATTATTCATATAACACATGTGTTTTCTCGAGAGGTTATACTATATACCTAATATTTAAATGTTCAAAGAAAAAAAATAGCTAATCAGAAGTTAAGACAGATAAGCCTCAACGTTAGATAATAATCAAAATAACTTTGAAAACTCCAGTTCAACACTCAGGGGAGGATGACAAATCTTTCTTGTTCTTTACACCTTGACGACTTAATAGGCAACATCTTGCTAAACTGCTGCCTTGCAAATGTGTCTGATTCCTTCCCTATAGCCCGTGCGAACAGTCCCAGTGCCCTTCTTGAAACTCAGGTTTTCGTTTAATATTAATTACTTAACGACGCGGCTTGTTAGAGGAAGCAAATGCTTAGAAAAGCTGGAGGTTAGGAGCGCTCTGTCTTGACAATCTCATGCAAGGCCCCTCCTCCGGCCGCCACCCGGGGCACCGCGGGACCACAGCCGCAGCCACCACTCTACCGGCTCCGGGACATAAACACCGCCCTTCTCTCCCCTACCCGCCCCCAACTTCCTTCTCCCAGAGAAACAGGGAGGACACCACATACCCTCGGAAGTGAGGCGAGAAAAAGGCTTAAGCAGCTCCGCGAAGCTGAGATGATTGAGACGAGTAAGCCGCTCTGCTTCGTCGCTGCACAGTGCGGCGACACAAGGAACGAAGGAGTCCGGGATTAGCTCCTGCACTGACTGTACGCACTGGGCCATAGCCGCGGCAGACGCAGCGGTGGCGCCCGCCCTCCGGCCCACCCTCAGAGCAGATCCTCTGGCTGCAGCAGCTACCGCCGCCGCCCGCCGGCCTGCCCGGCCGGGCGGGGCCCCACACTGGAGCCTGGAGACAAGTAGAAGGAACAGACGACGCCGCCTCTGCTCTCAGGGCAAACACCACAGAGCCCCTCCCCGTCACCGCCGCCCCTCAGCGCTCTCCCCGGCGTCCTCACATTCCACCCTGATAGGTGGAGATTCCAACAATCGCCACTCAGTCCTCCCGAGAGCAAAACCTTGGTCACTGCCCGACCGGAACCGCCATGTTGAGGCCGAACCCTGACCCGCCGGCAGTACTACTCCCGGCAATCCCTGCGGTCGCCCCTCACGTGACTGTCAAAGAAGGCGGTAGGGGCGGGGAAAAGAGCTGAGGTAAAGGAACTGAGAAGCGACGGAGGCCGGTAGGGAAGTTGAACCGGAAGTGGTGTGACGGATGAGTCTCAGTGGGCGGGGCTACGAGCGAAAAGGGCGGAGCCGGGCGGGGCAGGTACGCGGCTTTAGGAGGTGTTCCTAGCGCTAGTATTTGACAGAGCCCAGCCAGGTATTGCGGGCAAGCTATCAAGTTCTCTCCTAATTGGGTGCAGTCACAGTGATGAAGACCCCGGCTCACCTTCTCAGGCTTATCCTCTTTGACTTCCCAAAGGGCTGCTGCAGTGAGCAACTGATGTGTCCTTCGCGCTGCATCCTGCCCTCTCACTTTGCCAGAGGGTGCGCTGCCCACGGGGTGCTTGAGGAGTTTGTCTGGTGCTGCTTAGGACAGACTGTGTATCCTTTGAACACAACCATACTTATAGAAATGGACTGCCATGTATGTGGCCCCAGCCACTGAACAGAAAATGTGCTTGCAATTAACACAAGTGTAAGGGGAAACTCTTGAACTACTTACTGCATTTTTGTGAATCTCTGGAAAAGGGTGTGTCTGCAAGCGGCCGAGTTTTTCTTCTTCTGCCTCTTCCTTTAGCCTCTATTAGTGTGTTTACTTCGTAGTGGTAGAAGTGCAGGAAACCAGTGTTTACTGTGTAGAATCCTGAACTGGTTTCCATTCTTAATTTTCATTTTTATAGTGTTCCTATAAACTGAAGTGAATGAAATGAATTTTACCATTTTCTCTCTGAGTTTTTTGAAATCCCTCTGAATTACGTGCCAAAAACATAAGGCAAGGAAAAATGCAAAGTTGTGTTCTGGGTTTGTGGAGCCTTCATTAAATGAGGCTTCCCGAACATTAGTATCTTAAATTGCCCTACTTTTGAACACTCAGGTTTTTACTATGGCAAAAATTTATGATAGGTGAAGGATTTTTTCTATAAATTGAGAATCGGGAAGTAAGGAAGAACAATAGATTAAAATTAAATGACAACTTGGTCAGAGATCAATTTAGAGTAAGAAAACCACTTGCAAGTTAAGGTCTAAAAATTCATTTCCTTATAATTACCTGTACCTGTACAATTTAGAAAGTCTTATATATACATAATCCCTTTTGAATGTATCTAATTTCAATCCCTTGCATTTTATAATGTGAGAATCTTCTACAACTGAGAGAGACAAGTTATGATACAGTTTTGTAACAGAACTCCTACATGCAAATATATTGCTTTCTGTAATACTCAATGAAAAAGAAAAGTTAAGGGGGCTGGGGTTGGGGCTCAGCAGTAGAGCGCTTGCCTAGCATGTGCAAGGGATCCTTAGCACCACATAAAAAGAAAGAAAGAAAAGTTAAAATGATAGGGTATAACTCAGTGGTAGAGCACTTGCCTAGCATGCACAAGGCTCAGGATTCCATCCATAGCACTAAAAGAAGAAAAGCAGTTTTATTAGCTGTTTTTTTTTTTTAATTAAAAAGACAATTTCCTTTTATGTAGAAGATAAAACTAGCTGTGTTGGACTCTTTTTATTTTTTATTTGTTCTTTTTAGTTATACATGACAGTAGAATATATTTTGACTTATAATACATACATGGAGTATAACTTCCCATTCTTGTGTATGATATGGAGTTACACTGGCCGTGTATTCATATATGAACCTAGGAAACTTATGCCTGATTCATTCTGCTGTCTTTCCCATTCCCAACACCCTCTCTCCCCCAAACCAGTGAACCTCCACTACCCCCCCACACCTAATGTGAGTCAACATCCACATATCAGAACATTAGGCCTTTAGTGTTTTGGAATTGGCTTATTTCACTTAGCATGACAGTTTCCAGTTTCATCCATTCACTGGCAAATGCTATAATTTCATTCTTCTTTATGGCTGAGTAACATTCCATTGTGTATATGTACCACATTTTCTTGTTGAAGGGCACCTAGATTGGTTCCATAGCTTAGCTATTGTGAATTGAGTTGCTATAAACATTGATGTGGCTGCATCAATGTAGTATACTGATTTTAAGTCCTTTGGGTATATGCTGAGGAGTGGGATAACTGGGTCAAGTGGTGGTTACCATTTCAAGTTTTCTGAGGCATCTCCATACTGCTTTCCAGAGTGGTTGCACCAATTTGCAGTCCCACCAGCAATGTATGAATGTACCTTCTTCCCCACATCCTCACCAACATTTATTTGTATTCTTGTTAATTGCCATATTGACTGGAATGAGATGATATCTCAATGTAGTTTTAATTTGCATTTTTCTAATTACTTGTGATGTTGAACATTTTTTATATATTTGAACTTTTTTTTATATATTTATTGACCGATTGTATTTCTAGCGTGAACAATTCAGTTCCCTTGCCCATTTATTGATTGGGTTATTTCCAAAACAAGGTTTCAAAAGGCATCTTTGTGTTGAAGAGTTTGCTTCTTGTGTTATTGTTTAAGTAAAATTTGCTCCCTCAAAGAAAACAAGGAAGAGAATTCTTTTGGGCCTTGCACTACTGATGTTTAGCGGGGCTTAAACACCGCCATAAACCTGCAGATTTTATGGGGTGGACAAGGCTTGTATTCCACAGGAGTTCTCTTACTTGGGGCATTGCTCACGGACAGGTGCACACTCACAGGTACATGCACACCTGTCTCTGTAATTCCAGAGACACTGGGAGTGTTTTCCTACCTAAATATTTTCCTCCTTTACCTGCTGGCTAATGCCTGACCTTTGGCCAATACCCACCCGGCCAACACCCAACACCCACCCGCCTAGCTTAAGGCTTTCAGCTTTTGTTGGGGGGGGGGGGAGAATCAGCATGAAACAAGGCTGTTACTGTGATCCAGCTTTTGTCCCATTGAAGATGACATCCAGAGCCTTCCCTAAGAGAAAGAGTTGATGGAGGGAATGTCTATATGATTGGGGGGGGGGGCGGGGAGCCCACCAGGAGTGACAAGCTGGAGGAAGCTGAAGGTGTCCCAGAAATGTCCACAAGACCAGTATGCCCAGAGTTAGCCTCGTCAGGAATTCTGCTTGTGACAGCTCACTTCTTGGATTGCAATGGTAACTAGAGTATCATCTCTCATGCATTTTAGAAGTAAAAGAGATTTCTGCTTTTCATTCTCATTCAGGGGATAGCTTTATTTTGTAAAGAATGGCAGAGGTGGGGCTGGGGATGTGGCTCAAGTGGTAGCGCGCTCGCCTGGCATGCGTGTGCGGCCCGGGTTCGATCCTCAGCACCACATACAAAACAAAGATGTTGTATCCGCCGATAACTAAAAAATAAATATCAAAATTCTCTCTCTCTCTCTCTCTCCTCTCTCTTTAAAAAAAAAATAAAAAAAGAATGGCAGAGGTGCTTCTAAAGTTGGTCATCTTAATAGTGATAGTCGTTTGTTTCTTATTTCTTTTCCAACAACAAAATTCCAGTAGATCCTTCCCTCACTTTGGTGGAAGGAACAACAACTGCCTGGAGGGCTGTTAACCATTCCAGAGTCTCTGGTGTGTAAGTGTTAGTCTCGCAGGTCCTCGCTGGTCAAGGTGTGGCCACATGGGACCAGGTGCAGGGGTGCTGGGCTGATGTTGTGCAGCCCATGTGCGTGTTGTGTTGAACTCTAGGAAAAGGACTTTCAATGATAATTTAGCCTATGTGGATTTTTGAGATACATTTCACAAACCATAAAATTTACCCTTTGAAGTGCACAATCAGTACTACTAATTCCAGAACATTTCATCATTTCCAAAAGAATCCTGGCACTACCAGTTATTCCACCCTCCCATACCTCCAATCTCTGGCAATACCAATCTATTTTCTGTCTCTATAATTTCCCTATTCTGGACATTTCATATAAATGAAAGCATACAATATGAAGCCTATTGTGTCTGACTTCTTAGTTTTCATAAAATGTTTCCAACGTTCATTCATGTAGCAGAAATCATCCCTTTTCATTGTGGAGCCTAAATAAGTTTTGTCTAACAGGCTGACTTTGCAATCTAACATCACATCCATACACCTGGTGTGTTTCCAGTGAGTAATTTCACTGGCCCTGGGTTCAATCCCCAGCACAGGGGAAGGGGATGGGAGATGAAAGGGACATAACAACAACAACTTGCTTGGTTTCTGGTTAAAAAAAAACTTCACTGTAAGAATTTATTAAAATCTATAATCCTAGTATATCCTGGTCTCTTTTATTGTTTTTAACTTTTGGCAGGTACTGTTTGAACTGTGAATACCCCTGAAAACAGATATTTACAGTGGTCACAGTGGCAAACCTTTTGTCAAGATGCTTTCAACATCAAAACAAATTAAATTTATACTAATTTAAGCAAAGTGGGGAATGTTATGACTCATGTAACTTTGAGTAAAAGTGGACTAAAGCTCTCAGGAAAAAGAGAAAAGCTGCAAGAATACTGGCTTTAGGAAACAAAACCCAGGACTCAACATCTGTGTACGCTATCTCTCATCTCTAATTCTCTCTGGTTTCCTTCTTCAGGAAGAATCTCTCCACATGGAAGGGTCTGCCTACATTACCAGATCATATCTTCTCAGCTTAACAAATTAAGCAAAAATGGATTTTTTTTTTTTTTAATTCCCAGCATCCATATATCAATCCCAGAAAAAGTTTCTGATCTGCTCCACTTGTACCATATGCTTTTCCCTGAACCTAGCAATTCTCAGGGGGGATGGGTATCACTAGCTGGGCATAGGTCATATTTCTGTTCTTTTAGGTCAGGAGATAGGATCTATGTCTAGAAAAATTGGGATGGGAAAATTTATTGCTAAACAAAAACAATACCCATTATACACCACAAAATACATATTGTCTTCTCAGCATCCATATATACCCTCTCAGCCATTTCTGAGAGAAATGAGCAAAGTAGGGGAAAAAATAATACCTTGAAATCTGTACCCACTTCTCATTTTTAAAAATTAAGATTTAG